CCATCAAAATGTAGAGTAAAGCCGCTTGCGTCCCGCCTATAAGCACTTGTTTTCTTTTGGTTCCTTACAACTCATTGAAGTCCGTCGGTCTACTCCGGATGACCGTGAGTTTGACCACAAACCCGAGAAAAATTGACTCGTGAGGAGCAGGCTGGGTTTCGTTCGGGTCGAGGATGTATTGATCATATCTTCACCCTCCGCCAAATGTTAGAACACCGCCATACTTATCAAAGGCCAACAATCGTAGTGTTTCTTGACATCAGGGCTGCCTTCGATTCGTTGGACAGGGCCGTTCTCTGGGATTGTCTATTGAAGAAGGGTGTGCCTGAGAAGTTTATTAACATCCTAAAAGCCCTATATACAAACACCTCAGGCAGAGTGAGGTCATACAACCACCTCTCTCCATTGTTCCATTCGGGCAGTGGGGTTAGACAGGGTTGCCCAATCTCACCATTCCTCTTCAACTTTGCCATCGATGACATTCTGGAAACAGCTCTGATGGATGTAGGTAATAGTGGTGTGGATCTGTTGCCTGGAGAAAGACTTCTCGACCTTGAGTATGCGGACGGTATTTTCTTACTGTGCGACAATGCCCAAGGCATGCAATCCGCACTTAATCAGTTGGCAATCAGTGTCCGTAGGTATGGTATGTACTTTGCACCTTCGAAGTGCAAAGTACTTCTACAAGACTGGCAGGATTCTAACCCTGCACTCACCTTGGATGGTGAGCAGATAGAAGTAGTCGAGAAGTTCGTGTATCCAGGTAGCTGCACAAGTGCTGGTGGGGGTGTGAGTGATGAGATCAATGCACGTATAGTGAAAGCCAGAGCGGCTTATGCCAATCTGGGCCACCTTTGGCACCTTCGTGATGTTGGTCTGGCTGTAAAAGGTCGGATCTACAACGCGTCGGTGAGAGCAGTTTTGCTCTATGCTTGTGAAACCTGGCCTCTCCGAGTTGAGGACGTTAGACGACTCTCTGTGTTCGATCATCGCTGTCTCCGAAGGATTGCTGACATTCAGTGGCAATACCATGTCAGTAATGCAGAGGTTCGGCATCGTGTGTTCGGGCACAGAGACGATAATGCAATTGGTGTCACCATCTTGAAACACCGACTTCGGTGGCTTGGACAAGTCCTACGAATGTCGTCCCAGAGAACTACACGTCGTGCATTATTTGCCGACTCTGCGACTGGTTGGAAAAAGCGGAGAGGTTGTCAGTGTATGACATCGTGTCGAGGTATGAAAGAAAGCTGCAAAGAGCTGGGTTCTGTTGGTCCTTCACGACTCCTTGGCTGGGGTCCGAGAGATGGTGCAACACAGTGGCTAGAGACGTTATCAGATATGGCTCAGAGTAGAAGCCAGTGGCGATCCTGTTGTAACCTTCTTTTACTTTCTTCATAAAAAATGGTTGTTTCTTCCTTAACTGAGAGATTTCTTTTGATTGTACCTTTCCGTTTCCCCCATTATTACTATTATTATTTTCATTACTATTACAGTACCTTACACTAATCTGTTCGTTATTGTTCTTTTTTTACGCTCTTTACCTTCTTTCTCTCTTCGAATTCTGATTGTTTTGTGTGGCACAAATATATTTGGTTCCTTCTTGTACCAATATTTATGTGTTCAAATAAATAAATAAATCATAGAGCCTTGTATGACAACAAATAGTGAGCCAATATAAAAAAAGACATTGTAAAGACCAAAAGATATTTTTACTTAGACACTGTTTAGGTCCTTCGGAAACATAAAGAACAGAACTTATTGCCCCAATATCGTCTGGTTTCGGCAATAAGATCTTAAAAACACGAATTAAGCAACACGAAATTAGAAATATATTTAAGAAAGGTAAATGGTCATTTTTAAGTAGTTTACCCAAGAGTCATGCGGCTGTGCCACCAGGTATGTAGGACTACCAGTAAGAATTCTTTCTAGACTCATTAGGAAAGGCTTTCTAACATATGCGTATCGACATTCACTTCAAACATTCAGAAGCAGTCGACTGTAATTCAAATTCTCACTGCACATTAACAAACTGTATGGACGAACATCTGATTCAAAAATCTTAGTGAAGTTGAGGCGATAATTTGACCGGAGACAAAGAGAATAGTAGAACTTAAGAGATTAATCCCACATATTTTTAGGAACAATGGTAAGCTTAACTAGTTAAACCTTTGTTATTCGCAAACATACTTCCTGAAGTATGGTTTTAGTAATTTTCTGCTATCTAGTGACAAAAATTGATAGTACTGACCACATTTTATGGCCAAGTTTACCCGTCTTTTAGAAACCATAGTATTGAGAATGTGGAAATTATCTCTAAAACGAAAAACGCCATTTTAAAACTGATCTGTAGTGATGGGAAGTCTAACAAAAGTAGAATAGTTGAAAACATCGATTTAGTGAGTATAGCTCTTGATCAAATTTGTAAGCTTAGCTGAGCTTCAAGTATATTGACGTCTGCAATTGGGTAGTACTAACACCACATACAACCCAAAGAGTGGCTTAAATCTAAGTGCATGAACCCATATATCATCAGGGAAAGAGATGTTTGTTTATTTACCATATAGTCCTCTATATCTCACACTACACCTAAGAAATACAAACTCTTGATAGCAAGCAGATGCATAGTCTGCAAAAACTTGATCATAAATGAATTTGAAGTATTGGTCATGTATGATCCCAGGTGTAAATTACTAAGTAAAGGAGGTAATTCAGTGGACGAAATTCTAAACATATGTCCACAGTGGTTACAACACGTGTTGGGAAAACTTGATCATTAGTAACCAAAGCATGTAATAAGCTGGTTTGTGTAGAAGTAGGTTAGAAAGAGGTTATGAACTGTCGGTAAAAGACATATTATTTATTTTGGAGTTGATGTCACCGTCGCAATCAGCGTACGAAGAATTTGTGTTTCAGAAGGTCAAATACATTCAATCATAGTAAATTTCGATACTGTATAGGATGAATGCGCAAATACTTTCCATTCTCTTGTTCATCTTTTAGTATTCTAATATGTGAACTTTGAAAGTGGACTAATTTACATTCGAGCAGGCAGCAAGTCCAGCTATACTAATCAACTGATTGTGATCACCATTTTTTAGCACGTCACAGAGTTAGACTGTGGACAGAATGTGAATAAGGTTAGAAATTGATTTTGGGGTACATATAGGCTCTAGAAGAGTTATATCATAAGGTCATACTGAAGAGTGTTTGTCCAAAATAGTTTGATTTTACTCATAACAGTTCACAGAGTCTGAAAACTTCTATAACACAGAATAACTGAATAAATTAACGACTCGCGCATTTTCAAGTGACTGCGATTGGATTAGTTGTTTGAGATCAAAAAACTTTCTAAGGACAGTTTTTATTTACTTAAAACACAAGTATTTGTAGAAAAGAGAATCAAAATGAATATGTGCCACACGAATAAGACAATGAAATTTTGAAGAGATGTACAGAGCAGGAGTATAGTCAGAATAAATCAATGAAAACGAAAACATAAGTATACAAGAACTATTTACGACAATTCTGCTGAGCAAAACACAATCAGATTGAATTCTTTCACTTAAGTATCTCACAATAATGGAAAATATGAAAGAAGACTGATGCAGGATAGCCACTGGTTTCCATTCTTAGCCAATAATAGTCTAATAAAATCTCAAAATAATGAGTTACACTCTCTCTCGGACCCCAGCAAGGGAGTCATGATGGGACATGAATTACGTATGACTATCCACCGACTATCCCGAAGTGCGATGGTAGCCAATGTACGAGCAAGTTGGAAAAAAGCTAGGAGCGGCTATGTTAAGACATCGCATCGGCTCATGAAGACAATAACTGTCGAGATGAGTCATGTGGGTAGGTGCAGACTCTCTGGCAGGGGTTCGCGTGATCATCGTAACCGATAGTTAAAGACTTTGAACGACAACTCAAAATCGTTTGCAATGATATAGGTGCATTCACTCTTTGTTTTCCATTATGTTTTGAATTATTCATGTCATCTATTGCAATGTTTTATTCCCTGAATCATTGAGGTATGTGTCTACATAGTTTTTAAGATCTGAATAAGCATCCCGGGCACACCCTTCTTCAGTAGACATTCACAGAGCACAACAATGCCCAACAAAAAGTACACAATGATTGTAAACCTGTAAGAGATATAGCGGCACTCTGAAATTTTGCGAAGGGTGAAAATATAACCTGACAGAATGGAAAACAGAATGCTCCTTGCGAGTTGGTTCTCAGAAGTTTTGTACAGTCTGAAAAGTATTACAGAAGCTAATAGTTTGGACGCAGCTAGAAGTAGATTTGTTGCCCTATAGTTGTTGTACACATTATGCAGAGTGAAACGCTGTAGTTTTTTTCACCATAAAAGTGAAAAATATTCGTTTAGCTGAAAGAATTTTTCCTGGTGGTATTATTATTGTCCCAATAGTATGTCTCTAGTCATGTGGAAGACAACAATGAGCCCTATGGGGACAGACAATCAAGAAACTATTGTAGAACTTATTTGAGGAGTTATTTGGTTGACAAACTAAGACAACATAAGGAAATATAAGTTTTGCAATCAATTATATACTATAATGGCGAGTTTCCAAATAACTACTATGTTAGGGCTAACCACATGTCATTAACACATAAAATAAGCTCAGTTAACTTCGTTTTAAGGATATTGGCCGAAGAAATAATTAGGCAAACGCCCACTGAGATGACCTTAGTTTGAAGATATCTTGTGTCTACCTGATTGAGAAAATGGGTTTTAAATGGTGGCACGTGGGATAAGATAAGCCGCTAAAACTTTTAGTTTGTATATTTGTATTTTTTAGGTCAGTAGAAATACAAATTTAATTAACAAACCAACCAAGGGCCCTTTGCATTGACTACTAGAGGCACGAAGAAAAAATGCAAAGATAATTTTGTTTTCGCAAACTAACAGTAATATATTATTGATATTGGCATTAAATTCAAGCCACAGTATGAACACATCATCCAGGACTCACCTGCTTTTCACACAACGTGTATTTATTAACAACTAAATACAAGTTAACACAATGCAGCACTGACGATACAAGGGAAAATATGCAAACTGCCCCGAGGTAAAAAGGGACAGGTGAACGCAAACTGGTCTCCATCACTCCACCCTTGCTGCTTGAAAATGATAGTGCTGCGTCAAAAATCAGTAAACCTCCCATTATAAGAAACAGAAGCACACAGAAAATCTGCACAGAAAATTAATATAAATCAATATATATACCTTGTCTATTACATTTGGAAGACAAACAGTTGGATCGTTGGCTATCGTGAGCGGCATAACCATGATGAAAACGCTACGTGAATCAACTATCAGACAGGACACTTACCACAATATCCTCAATAAAAAGTTAACAATACCAGTACAAACAAAGTCGTCGGACGCGAAAGACCACGTCCTACCCAAGAAAGTCAACGCAGGCATGTCGAAAAAAATATGCGAGATTTTACAGGTCACTTGTAAAGAAATGAAGTGATTAATGTGACATGGTGTCTAGTAACATAAAGGAAATAACAGTCCTAAGACAGGTGACCTAGAAGAACCAAAGATTCCGCCCATTTGCAAATAGTTTAAATGCTTGTGGAGGGAATGGAAGAAACTTTCGTTTAACATGCTCTAACATCTAGTGACACTGGATCGCTGATTTCTTCGGGTACTGGCCTAAGTGTATTTAACAGGCAGACGAGCAATATCAGTACTTTATCCACACAGCTGGCCCACGTCTAATTAAGGATACTAACTCACTTAAGCCTTTTCAGCATGTGGGAACAAAACTAGTGAAGGATATTTCAAAACCTCTTATTAAGAGCGCTTAAAACGCCTAAACCTTTACCTCTTGTCACATCGTCGGACTCTAAGTGACCTTATATAGGCATTTCGTATACTTAATTATGATTTGGGTGCTAATATGTCTTATCATTTTTCCTTCTCCAGCACTAATAATCTCCGGGGCCATAGCAAGATGGTTCACAAACCGCAGTCGAATAAGCTTAACATGGGGTTCCGTTTTTCTCATCGAGTGGCCAATGATTAGGACACCTTACCCGAAAATGTGACATCAGCCGCACCACTGAACATCTTTAAGGAGACGCTGGCCCTTCACTAGAGATCAAACTGTCAGGGTTAACACATGTTCAACAAACCACTATCCTTATTATGGAAGATCAAGTTTGGATAGACACTAGTCTATGCAATAGAGTGAAGTGCAAATTCATTTTTGCATTGTTTGTTTGAATTTTCCCATTAATGTTTAGGACTGCAATGAAAGACTGATCAGTTGTAGTCCTAAACATCAATAGGAAGACTCAAACAAACAATACGAAATGAATTTGCACTTCACTTCATTGCACAAACTAGTGTCTATCTGGATTCAGTAACTAAGAGGATAACGCCATAGCTTTTGAAGCGAACGGTGGTGGGTTGGAGTCACGGAGTGAACACCAACTCTGTGATGGAGGTACATCCGGCTTACATATCCCAAATAGAACGAAAAGCACGTTCTGAACTCCGCTACAAGTCACTATCATTTCAGACGATACTTGTTGTGGAACACAAAACGAGATCTTAGTACTGGATTCTAAGAGACCTCGGTGAGATATTCGGTAGCCTGAGAAAAAGTAAAATATATCCAAACTTAAAAGGTTGATTATTTTTTGTTAACGTAAACCGGTCGTTTGATGATGACTTGACCCCTATGCGTTTTAGATCATTGATGAGACATGTATGATTGCACCTATCTAAAACTTCTGAGAGATCATTATATATCACATCCACATTCACCCTGTGATCAGAGATGGTTTTCCATCTGTCCGAAGCAGTCAAGAGAGAAGTTTATCAATCACGAGCAGTCTCGTAAAGCTTAGAATATTAAAGACTCCATTACCTTTTAGGACACTGAATGAAGTGCTACCGACCGGTAGCTTAAGGTTAATCTCATTCGCTTTCTTTAAAAGTTGGCGTGATATGTGCCAGCTTTTAATTACCTGGGAGTGCGCCACCACTTAATGATTATTAGATAATTTCTTCTAGAGGTGCTGCCAGGACTGAAAGCGCCTTTGTCATTATAATGGAGCAAACCACGTGAAGTGTCAAAATATAGACACTGTAGTTTTAATAACAATGACGATATATTCTCAAATAACGATATGTTACATGAGGCAGGCTAGTTCATAGTCAGGACAATTTTGTTACAAATGGTATAGGATTCACTGTAATGAGTTATTCAGTTGGGCTGATATGCCATAAGACAGATTGATCATAGAAACAGGGGAGCGAACTTTGTAAATTAGATACTGGGTGTTTAATATAACAGTTGTCACGCTGTGAAGAGCAACTGGTAGTCGAGAATGAATTCAACTAAATTTCGGAGCTGTTTACAACGACAAATAATGCAGTAAATGCATAAAGTCAGTTAAAAAAGTCAACTTTAATGTATTTTTTGTTTTCCAATTGTGCTCTCAGATAACTAACGTAGGCTTCAATCGAGGATCAGAACGGATTCATATGTTCAGTACATGTGTTTTCGGTGGTATGCCACGAGGCTGCTGAGAAAGGGGTAACAAGAAGAGTAAAAAGTAGAACATATAGTCTTCGTTACTGATAAAGCTAAGTCATTTGTGATGAAATAATTAAGAGGTGAATATTTAGACTTATTTTCTTTTATTAGGTCGTCCTTTAAGCAGGTTTGTTTCAAGAATTTAAAAGAAAATAGACCAAAGAATGGCCCTAAATGGTCAAAAGTCTGTACAGACAGACAGGCATTAAAAGAGCTGAAAGTTTTAATCCATGTGTATTTTTAAAATATAGTAAGAACAGCAGTGTTGAATAAATAAATGGCTATTTTTGTTGAAATTATCATAACTCGTTTCTATTATTATAACTTTTATAGAGAAATGAGTTGACTTGCTTGTCCATTTTGCTAAAAGTAGGATTTCGTAGTAAGGAGTGAAACTGATCAAGTTTACAAACATGGGTCAAATAGGTATTTCCCATAGGGAATTGGCATCAGTACCATTGGTTAATGACATCCCGCTTGACCACAAGGAGCCGTAATTAAGCAAAATGTTCTGCCCTACAGACGTGAGTAGATTGAGGTTATCTTGGATATTATGAGCTACTTTCGATCGGCCATGGTTGAGCAGCACGTATGGGGTTAGTGAGTTATCTGAAGTAGAAAGTGAAAAAAGGACGTGAGACTTCGAGGAAAAGTCATGAGATTTTAAACAAACGCGAAACCCCTAAACTGTTTTAAGTGCACGACTAGTGATGAATGGTAAGAAAGGAGAAACCATGTGTTCTATCATTCCGCTATCCATGTATGAATGTCAATGATGGTTTCGTAAAAAGTGTTTCATGGGTGGGTGGGAGTTCTGGGAATAGTTGGTGAAGCTCTTTATGGTCTAAAAGAAGGGTAATTAGTCTTTCGGACCTAGCGATAACATCATAGTTGTGGGTGCGTATTGGCGGTCCGTTGCACAACAAACTATAACACACTGTAAAAAACATACAACGCATAGGTTTTTCGGTGTTTTACACCTATTAGTGTATATGTTTTATTTCTAAGTCTTTAGGCAGAGTCATGGATAACAATTTGACTGGAGGTTAGAAATGACAGACTGAATAATAAACAACTTGCTGAAAAATATCAGATTGTTTCTTAGTCGATGACAGCGTGTAGATTCTACTTAGTTTGTGAAATTTTTGGTTTCGGCCTGGTTATATCTTACTGACGGGAACACTGTGTTGATCTTGGTGTATATGGACATCGTACATTTTGTATAATCCAGTAGGCTTAGAGGTTGTCACACCTAAATTCAGGCAGTCATAGTCATATTTGTGGACAAGGAACGTAAAGTTCTGAAGATGAAGGTTTGACTTTGTCAAGTACTGATTCCTTAGACTCGGACTTCGACCTCTTGGCTGGTTTAAAAGTAGGTGATATTTCCCTTTTTACTGGAATTACTAGTCATAATAAAAAGCTGAGAGAGTAAAGACCTCGTTAAATGGAGGGAGTACATAAATATGTAGTTACTGTTGATTGGTAAACGTGTTAATAATAAAGTCAGTGACTTGATATACGGATGGTTTAATACATCAAGCGTTAAGTTATCAACAAATAGTATATAATAATATATTTCTGTCGGGGCAGGTACATGCAATTTCTACTAACATTACCTATAACTTACGACACTGATTTACACATAAGAGGTCTCTCAAGTAGAGTTGTAATTATTTCAATTAGTATGGTCAAGGGATAGGAATCTTTTAATGTTGTCTGTCGCGGTTGTGACTACCGAAATCCAATGTTCTGTTTGAACGTAGAACTAACGAAGTAAATTTTGTTTGATTCCACCAGAATACTCTCTTCTGAACAGCATACAAAGTGTTTCTCAGTGATTCATTAAATTATATCTGTAGAATTGTGGTTTAGTTCAATACTGATACTGCTCTAATAATAGACCTTATCCTGAAGTCGTAGATATAGAATGATGTTGCTACCTAGTCTACAAGATATTGTGTGGAAGTCACATCATTGTCTGTCCTGGCTCACCGTACATGACAATCAACAGCCAGATGTTTAGCATTTCTGAAGAACACATTTGTGCTTAAGATAGAATAATACATTAAACTTGGTTGGCAATAAGTTACACAGTGACCACGCATGCAAGGCTGAGCCATGCCACTCTGGTCGACAGTTGCCACCTTCGCCATTGTCCACCTCCCCTCCACGTAAAATTTCGAAAATGAATTTTCCTAGTCATCCCATGTTCAACTCCGAACATCGTTTGGTTAGAACCAATACCACTACATATAAGAACACAAACTCTGTGTTCAGTTTAGGAGGTTCTGGTTCGAGAAAGAAAACGAAGTATATCAAAAGTACAAAATACCACAAACAATGCAGCCTGTGCTATACAGTCATGAGTTTCCCGAACACAAACTAACCTGCTGGACAACAAAAGGAATAGTTAATAAACAATAGCTCGATACCTAAGAATCAATAAAAATATTTTCAACAAGAAGTGGTCAGATATCTGTTTACACGGATTCCTGAAACTTTTCCGGGAAGACAGTCAAAGGCTAACAGTCCTATATTGAAGTACGCTGTGACCTTGAGTTTAGCCAGACACGATTTTATTTTCAACAGTTCAGGAACTTGCAACAATAAATTAAATAACAAGAGATACATCTGTAGAACTATAATCTACTATGATATTAGTACTGCTCTAATAATAGACCTAATCCTAAATTTGTAGATTCGTCATGATATAACTGCCTAATCTATAAGATCTTACGTGGAAGTCACACCATCGACTACGCCAACTCACTGTATCGTATCAATTACCAATACATGATGAAGAACAAGGTTAGGTTAGAGAAGGAACAATATATTTAATATGAATAGAGACCACGCCTGCATGGCC